ATTATATTGCTTTACCGTTAGCCGTTAGCTACCAAACGGAGATTATTGTCTTTTTAATACATATAACTATATATAGAGGAACTTCAAAATGCACGAGAGACATTGAATTATTGAAAATGCCTTGATGCATTAAAATATACCTAACACGCGTGATATATTTACCTTCACTGCAGTGTCGCATCCACTCAACGACATTGACATTTTCATGAACTCTGATTGTTTTTTAATATACAGACTACAGAGTGATTATTTTATCGCACACGAACCAGCGATTATAGCACTATTATCAACGAATCAAAGTTTGAGTAATTTTTGATGTATTTTTTCATTTACTATACTAAAGAATCGTTTAAATATAATATTTTTAAACTTACGTCCGTGAAAAGATAATTTTTTGATATGCACAGAACTAGACAAATAACGGATTTTATATTGTCGTTTAGAGCAGTGTATTTAAGGATGAGGCAAAGAGGTAAATTTAATATAACTATAGACGTAGAATGGGAGGTGCTATGATGGCTATAATCCACCTCTAAATATTTTTTGCAGCCCTCTGAAAAACGAGATTATGCAAGAAAAGGTTTTTTCGTTATCCTCCTCCCTAAGACTGTCGTATTTGTCAACATTGGAACACAATAGGGAAGTATGCATAAATCGAGTATTTATCATTTTAAACTTCAGACCGCAACATAAAATTATTTTAAATTTTATTCTGGACATATTTGTTATTTAAGTGGTTTCCTTCAACGGAGTTATATTACATTATTATAAATTCCATATTTTTAATTACCGAAATATCGAAATTGTGGGCTAATTATTATTAATTCGTTTATCCGTTCATATTTATTCAAGGCTAGTAATAATGAGTACCTACTATATTAGAGTTCATATGCATTATACCTTTATACAATAATTAATAATTATCTAACAATGGTTTAAAAAATAAAAAAATGATAACATTTATTTTAATTTGTTAAATTTAAAAAAATGTATAATGTACCTAAATAAATTATTTATTATTATAATTATTTTTTAACACGTTGAATTTTTAAATAATTCAATTTTCATTTAAATTAAAATTATTTTCATTAAAAAGTTTACCATTTTTTAAAGAACAAATACAACCTATTTTTAATAAAACATTTGTTTTACACTGTCCTATGGTATGTTTGTATGCTAATGACTTGGTTTGTCACAGTGGAACATTTTAAGTATTTTTAAATTTTCCAGTAAAAATGTATTTCAGTTTTTAGTTTATTGATGTGTATTAATAACAAAAAAAAAAAAATAGAATAAATCACATTAGAATTCAGTATCATTTAAATTGAAATTATAATTTTAAAAATAACTTTTGATGTCTTACCGTGGCTACCTCTGCCCTATCATCATCGATAAAAAGAAATGTTAAGTGTTTTAAAGAGCATCTTTTTGATGATTTCCTTGCAATATAAAAAAATATAAGATAAGTTAGAATGTAAAATCTAAAATTTTATTTGAAACTCGAAATAATATTTTATGATATTTAAATTTATATTTATATTTTAATATGGAATATAAATAAAGAATTTATAGTCATAACCAGGGTTCGGGACCTACAGCGCTTAAAATCAACTTAAAAGTGCTTAAATTAATGCTTTAGAACATTCATTTAGCATAGCATAACATTTAAAAAGCTTGATAATCCTCTTTAAGAACTAAAAACGCACTTAAACACACCGCTCATAATCTAAACATATTGAAGTAACCAAAATACATTGAAAAAACATGTTTTTTTTTTAAAAAAAAAATATTGAGATAAGCACTTCCAAATTTCACATTAGAATTCTTGAATTTTTTTTTAAAATATACTCGCGAAGTTGTACAGTCCTATTGCCAGAGATGATCGATACGACAAGTAGATGAAATAACAAAATCAAACAAATATTTGTTGAATAATAGATTAAAAATGCAAAATTATATAAAAATCGCTGTGAGGGAAAATATCAGGGTTTTCGTCATTGGCTTCTGTAATCACAAAATAAAAATATTCTAAAAAACAAAAAACAGAATAACTAGTTAAAAGTTCCTAAAAAAATTATCGAAATAAGCAACAAAAAAAAAAAAAAATGAACGGGTATGTCCGCAACAATTTCATAAACATTAGTGTGTTAAAAATTAGGTATGAATAAAACATTTAAATAACTTCTCCAACACACTAATCAGATAAAATTTGTCACAAAAAACCACCCTTAAAGTCAATGATCAGAATATGATTTCTGGTATAATAGTGAAATTAGAGGCAGAAAAACAAAATAAATGTAGTTTCAAAACAAACGGACATACTTCGCACGATGGGTGGGTCACTTTTGTAGTTGTGAAGTCGGGAGAAAGAGGTGAAATTAAATGTATATCTGTACGCAACAATTAATCATTGTTACCGAAAAACTGTTTTAACTGTTTTAAATTTACGATTTGAGAATAATATTTTTCATACATTTTCCGGTATTTTATATATTTTTTTTTCGGTTTTTCTCATTTACTACGAAAAATCATGGAAAAATAAAAAAAAATTACCTCCTTATAGTACTACTTTACAAAAATTTATTTTCAGAAAAGGAGCTTTACTTGAAAATCGGAGCAATATTTCTGGTAGAAATTGTCTACACAGTATAAAAATATAAAAACCAAATAAAACACATATCATTATAAAACCAATACTTTTTCCACTTCACTCAGAATCTAAAAAAAAAACCCCTTTCAAATTTCATATTCAAACTTGCAATATGATATAAATTTTCACAGCACTCTGCTAGTTTTAATATCAAGCCAAAAAAATAAACAAACACTATAAATCCCGAATCCTAGTCATAACTTATAACATAATGAGTGAACGCATGACACAATTTCGAGGGGTAGTCAAACAAATATTGTCTTTGTGTCGCTGTAAGTTAGTATTATACATATTTTTTCAACTATATAAATCATAAGTAAAGAAACTGATGGAGACGGTACCGTAATTACTTTCAGTGATGAAATATTGCTAAATGGAATGAATATTTTCACAAAGCTCTTTATTTCAAAGAGCCAGAGAACCCATTCTTATTTAAGTACAAGCCAATTTAACAGACTGCCTTCCACCGTCGAAAGATGAAACGGAAATGCAAATAAACTCTGAAAAGGCGTTAAGCACCAGGAAAATATGGGATACTACGGAAGAAGTCGAAAATCTGTGAATTGGTTTAGTACAAAGATCCTCTAGCTTTTTTTTTTCGTGTACCGTTTATACATATGTATTACGGATCCGTCACGTACCACTTATGACCAAAAATTAAACTGTTCATGATGTTTATACATTTATATCAAAACGACAAGAGTATAAGACAGTACATTACTACAGTTATAATATTAACATTATTAAAACGAAAAATATGAAATAGTATTAGATCCGTTAAAAATGTTTATGCATACATGTATTAATTAATTTTGCGAACCGACACCATCCGGCCTACCGCGTACCACCGGTGATGTGCCGTAACATAATTAGTAATACAAAATGGCGTATATCAGTAGTAGGAACGGCGTTCTATTCATCAATTACCGCGACGATGACGTCGATATCTACAATAAATGTGCAGACATTCCTGTTCGATGAAATCTCGGGGCATATACGAAACAAGCCTCGATTTATTTTTCACAATAAAATTTGTTAATTTAGAACACCCGTTGCGGCGAAAATTTAAATCTGGTATTGCACCGAATAGATTTAATACGTTGTTAAAAACCATTAAATTACGATGCACGTTTATTTACTTTCATCCAATCAAACCATAGCTGGTTTATTATTGGTAGCCGGTAAATGTTTTAACAATTTTATTTAGAATACCGATATTCATTTACCGAAACGTTTGAACATTTCGATAAGATAAAAGTCATTTCGAAAATTATATCATATATAGTGAACCTTGCATTTCTTTTTTACTTATACAATTTTTTTTTACTACCCACTGTTACAACTGTTCATCACGACTTGTGCATCGCTACTGCAAAAAAAAAAAAAAAAACAACTGTCCTAGGATAATGGGGACGGGTGCAGCCACTCTTACAGATTACTATTATAGAATTACCTATACATATATCCGTAAGCGAATATTAACCATTGCTTATGAAAAAACTATTCTGAGCGGAGTTCGGTTGATGGCGTTGTTTTGTCAACAATATATATGTAATTTTATGGTAAAACAATTGTCCGTTTTTCCGTGTTTCCCGCGTTTTCCCGGTTTGTTGGGAAAAATCGTGGGAACAATAATCTCCGTAAGGTACCTGTCCGGGTCGATTTCCTTTCGGGAAAAGCGGTATCGTGGAAAATCGGGGCGAAATATCTGGTGGACAAGTTGCGCGCAAAAAAAAAAAAAAAAAACAAACGCCATTGTAAAACCGACGCGTCCCTAGCTCCGCTCGGAAAGAAAAAAGAAAAAAGAAAATAAGAAGGAAACACTAAACGCGGCCCGCGAAAACGAGAAAAAGAACAGTGTACGAGTGCCGTTGTAGCGCGCCGTTTACGCCAATGTTATGCGGCGCGGAAAGCGTATTGCATTTCGGTCGCATCGTAATGCAGCAATACACGACGGCGACGCGCGGTCGCGCGCGCGAGGACGTTCTCGAGACGGGACCAACGGCCCGCGCCGTCGCGATGTTTAACGTCGCCCCGAACACGGCGCACCGCGAACAACGTGTAACGCAAACCGTTGAAACAAGAGGCGGCCGCGCGCGCGAAGGTTCGGCTGTTTTACAACACACTCGTAACGACGACTGTCCCGTTTCCCCCCCCCCCCCCCCCCCGTGTATAACGTGTACGCGCACGCTCTCGTCCGGGGCGCGATGCGAAAACGGCCGGTCGACGGTTTTCTCGTCACGAACGTCCGCCGCCGCCGCCGCCGCCGTCAGCGGGCGTCGCGCGCGTACGCGTCCCGCAAATTATTTAACACGATATTCCGGGGACCGACGGCGCGCATTGTTTTACACGGCGTCGTTATTGTTGCATGTTTTTATTATTATTATCGCCGTCGCGCGTCCGTCCCCCGAGACTCGTCGTTTGTTCGGATCGTATTACGCGCGTTACAAACATTGCGGCGAACGTCATTACGATTAATACCCGATTCGAATCAATTTTTATTCGTTTTTTTTTTTTTTTTTTTTTTTTTTTTACGTACCAATGTTGCCCGCCGCGGCTTTTAGAATAAAACTGCGGGGCCGACAATATCATGCACATCAACGGTTTCCAATCGTATGTTCCGTAGTATACTTTATGCGCCGTTTTCACTAACAGTCTCGGAGGCTTCCGCCCTCACCTTTCACGTTTTGAACAAAAAAGAGTAGCGAGTATCAAAAACGTACAAAGTTTAAAAAGTAAGTTAACACATTTATTCGATAGTTGACAATTTATCATTTGGACGATTGCGTTGGAAAATCGATATTTCGAGTTTAAAAGAAATACAATTCGCTTTGCGACAATAACACGTTCAATGTTCTTCTTGCGTTTTCCTCACTGGGTACTGTATTTTCCACCGGTACAGTACCGATAAATATTCGTCCTTCCCTGCAGTGGCGTAGCCAGGGTTTTTGAGAGGAGCCGGGGAGCTGAAGTTATAACGAGTCATGGGATTTCCGGTGATCGTACATCAAATGTAATTCACGTTTCCGACGGAGATTATGAATCTAATGGTAATGGCCATTCGATATTTATATTACTTTCAACGGTGTTAGAATTTGATAAACATCAAATGCATATTGTAATATTGAATGTTTTGCGTGTTCGTTTCGTTCATAATGTTAAATAATGTTTAAAATGTTCGACTGTAATGTCAACTATTGTCACAACTAAAATTTAGTCAATACGGCTTATTGCTAATATATTGCCATACACTTAAGACGTTTTTTTTATTTAGCGGCTGCAACCGCGTACACGGCGTTCACGTTTTTTACAACTTTTACAAGCGATTGTTCCAAATATAATTTTTTCTTTTTTCCACTCGCTAAAATGATGTGTCGATCGCGTTTTAATATAATACCGATACGGGTGTGTGGCCGCATAGGAAATCAATAGCGATTATGGCGTATATATTTGGTATTAACCATCCGATTTTCATATTTACGTTTTTAATCGTTGTTTTATATTATAATCCAGCCAACGACGGTAAAATTAAGGTCTTGGTGCGTGCCGTAATCATTTAATCAGATTAAGTATAGAGATCGCACAACGCCAGAACTGTATGAGCTACAGTATATTATGACGCCGTAAACGAATTACTAATTAGGCGAGTACATATATGTTTGTTATTCATTTTGTAATTAATTTAAATTATTTCTGTTGTTTTTCTCTATAATATGTGCATTGCGCATACAATAATTAGTATACATTTGAGTGATTTATAATGAATGTATGAATATAGCTCGGAATTAATAAAGCCGACAAAACCATGTATACACGAGTATCAACAATCCGTAATGTAAAGGTTCGATAAAAATTCAAAACCCAGTGCACTCGTATTTTATAAATATTTAATGTAGACAGTATTTTTTTTTTTTTTTTTTTTTTATTTATTTTTTGTATTTTAATAATCGTATTACGTTTGAAAATTATTCGAATTATTCAACCGGACAATTTGTTTACATAACGTAGACATACATATTGGAATTAATAAAACAAAACGGTCTTGAAATGTAGATAAACGCTTGTTGGCCAATAAATATCGTCCAAATATTTTCGAATTACGAACAAATGTAGAGTTGACTAACAATTAATTTTAAAATCATTTCCCCAGACAGATAACATATTATTTTATCATAGATTTTTCCTAAACTAATTTAAATCATATTTGCTTGAACAAACTCAGATAATTCGAATCAATGATCATATTAGTGATCTTGAATCTGTAAGTGTAAGGGTTACCTCAAGATACTATTGCTTTATTGTTTTTAATTTATATAAATGGCCTAAACCGGCATACGGTTAATTTACTTTCTTTTAACACAAACAAAACCGTTTTTATAACGTTTGTGTTATCCAAAAATTCGATGTCACAATAAATACCTTAGAATATCATTCATCTACATGTATGAGAAAAAGGATATGTGTTTTTGGCTGTTTCAAATCGGTTCGTGTTTGTAATGTTAAGTATCTCGATATACATTTTGATAGTGATATAAAGTGGAAAACGCATAATTATTCAAGTATAAAAATATTAAGAAAACATTTTTATGTATTTGAAGAATTAAATCTTATCCGAGATCCACCATGAGGAGTGTTTATTTTGCGTTAGTACAGTCAATTTTATCTTATTGTTTTATAGGAATCGGCGTACCCATCTACTGTTGAGTCGTTAAACACTATACTTCGAATGTTAGTACGAATTTCGTTAAAACGATAGAGCAATATGAATATTTGACAGCTATTTGATATTCTACGCGTGTTTAATTTGAATTAATTTTTCGAGTATAACTCTATAATCCAATTACATTTCGATATTTATAGTCAAGACTCTGCATTTTTAAGTGTTATTTCTGAAGCGAGAAGAGAAGGCTATCCCGGGGCTCCGAAGTTAAACATTACTGTTCATCAAAACTATTATCAATATTATAAATACGAAACTATATCAATATTTCAATATTCAATGAGTTACTTAAAAACATTAAGTTAATTAAAGACGCTTAGTGAATCATCCTGTATATATACTATATAGTTCACACTAAAACCCTGTGCAAATATGACGTTAGTACGAGTATAGATATTTCTAATTAACATAATGTACATAAATAATTGACTCTACATTGAATTCTAAAACATGTTTGATATTATACAATTGTTTGTCTAAAATGCAAAATATATTCTTCAGTTTGTCGGTATTTCCGTTTAAGATAGGTAGTTTTTTTCACTGCGATTTTAAAACATCATATTTATATATCTACTGTATCCTATATATTTTATCGCCCCGAAATATGGTCTTGTCTTGACCAGACCAGAACTCTGGGATCGGCGCCACTGCTCGTGAATTGTGATGAATTGTTCGACTACAACATAATCGAACACCATCGAATACACATTCTGCAACACATTGCCCCTATTAAAAAAAAAAACCCATATATATTCCCGAATAAGTAAAACACACACACACACACACACACACACACACACATACACACGTACACTCACAATATAGTATATATACTACAATGCCTTCTGGTTTTTGGTGTTTTGGGAGTAGAAAATCGTGTTTTGCTCCCGGGAGACGATCAGTATAACGACGCAAGCAGCGGTGGGCTAACTGCTGCTGTTGTAGCAGCTAGTATAATAATATAATAAATGTAGCGTAAATCTGGGCAAACAATTTCGACAACGTACATAATACGTATGTTATTTGAAATTATTCGGTGCATCAATTCTTTAACGGCCCAATAGGAATTGCCAAAAAAAAAAAATAAAAAATAACAAAGATCTGATATTGGGTGATGGGAGCGGTTACTGTTGTAGGTGAAAATGTGGGAAGCTTGGATACATACGGTTATTTCATTAATATCTGTAAGCAGCTATAAACGATTGCTTGACGAAAGACGATTCCGAGCGTAGTTCGGTAATACATAATTTGAAGTGTCGTATTTTTTTTTGCGAGTTTCGTTTAAAATTAATTTCAAAATGCTTAAAAAAAAAAAAACAAAATTGTTTGAAGATTTTGGAAATTTTACCACGGCTAGATAAGTCAAATATAAATATTATTACCAAGAGTCAAGTCTCTACTTGTATTTATAACCGAAGTACAACAAAAAAAACAGCAACAAATTAAAATTCTCCAAAAGCTCAAAAGTGGCTCAAAAGTTTTAGCGATGATACCATAAGAAATTAAATTGAAAAGGCAACAAAGAAGGTGTCTTGTGATTTTTCGATTTAATCATTTTTTCTGGTAGAAAACGTCGTTCGTGTTTTTATAAAATAATGAAATCATGAAATTGTACGTTTTCCCACGTTCATTCTCACTTAAGTGCTGTTATTTTAAAAATGGCTTTGAAATTAAAAAAATGACATTTCTATAGTACAATCTAGACAACTTGGGCTTTTATAAAAATTGCTACACATAAAAATTGAAGCAAGTTTACTAGGACAAAATGTGTTCACAGACCAGAAGAAGATATAAAGAGCATTGTAAAACCAATACGCTCGGAATCTAAAATAATAATAAAAATCGACAGAAACCATTATAAAACATCGGTTAGCTACTCTCAATCAAATCTCAAATATTATTTTATATTTATTTTAAATATAGGTAGTTATTACATACTTAAATCGACGGTATTTAAAAGTCTGTAAGTGACATATTATCGACATTCCGGAAGAACCTACTGTTTTGACATTTTTCGAAACTTTGTAACGTTCCGAACAATATTAAGTTTTAAAGACTTGGTGCACATATACATTATTATGATTTATAAAACAAAAAAAATACAGTAGGGTCAAACATCTCTAGCCCGTCCCCTAGGAAACCACGAAGTTTACGGCAACAAAAAAGTGAGAAGCACATTAAGATGTCGAAAAAAATTCACGGATATAATAATATATACAATACCGACAATAACACTTTTGTTTTCAAACATAAACCTCGAAAAAAAGAGTCTTCTCTACGTTTCGGCTACTGAATAAGTTATTACCTACTTAAGCATTATACAATAGAATATTATATATAGTCTATAAAAAATGTACGTTTCGTTTATTCGTAATATTTTTATAAACTTCTTAAATATTTGAATGCAATAAATATTTGGCCCGACTATACGGAGGGATCGCCTAGCGTTCTCGAGGGGCCGACCGGTATTGAATTTTAAACGAATAGCGAATACTTATAATAAATAATATTTATTAAATATTATAAACGTTGGTGCGTTTAATTTATGAAAAACAAAAAAAAGGTGGACGTACTTCGCACAATGGGTAATGTATTTCATATTTATTGTGTAAAAAGAAAATTTGCGAGGATTCGAAAAAAACTATTTTCTGAATGAAATAGTACAATTAGTAGTATCGACCGTGTTTTTGATATGAAACACGGAGCAGTTCACCGATTCAGAAAGTGCTGTTTTTGCCAAAAAAATATGCGTCGCTTCTTCGTTAAACAGGTAATCAGAAACTGAATAAAATAAAACGTTTTTAAACGATCTAAAAATACTTTACGACGTTTAATACTGTATTACACCGGTTTTCGAACAACACTATGTACACAATATAGTAATATCACTAATATAATATTCTCTCCGGTCTTCGCGTATATTTTATTTTATTACGGAACGGGTAGGTATACCTAACGCGAACGGTGCAAACTCTGACAAACATAATAACATATTAAATATGTTAAGCGCTTGTGTTTACTAAAACGACAATGTAACTATTGCTAATCATAAACAACACACGCCGTGATAGGTACGTGATACACGGTTTTTATCAGGACTTAATGATCAGATGGGGCGGAGATTAGAAAGAAAAAAACGAGTTAAATAACCTAAAGTGTTCCCGATAATATTTTGAAGAACACTGATATTGTACAGTACAAGGTGTCTAAAATAATTCTATCAAATGATTTTTTTCAATTAATTCGCACAAATACTAAATTATTTTACAGAGTAGCTTTTAGCGCTAATAAAAATTACATACTAACTAATAAAGACAGTCTTCTATCATTGGCTAATTGTTTCCCGAACAATGGTGTTATTAATCTACAAACATCAAACTACACTTTTAACCGTGAAAATAAAAAATATTTACATTTATTTTTTTTACACTTCTATAATATAGGTTATTCGACCGATTTTCATTGCTAGAAAAAATAATATAATATGTACGTTAAAATATTGGCTTAAATCAGAACGATAAATTACAAGTGTGCATTAAAGTTTAAAAAGTTCAAATACACTAAAATATATGCCAATAACATCGGTGTTATTTTAATTCGAATTATTCAAAATCGTGTACCTACTTTCCTATCAAATTTCAACTACTTACCTAGGTATTTTATTATAATACATTATTCATACACATGTATATATCATACATATTATTATATTAAAAACCCAGTTCTTCTTCTTTTTCTTCAAAAAAAAAAAAAAAAACAAATAATAATCAATTGTATTGAAACGTACTATCTTTTGTTTATATTTTTATTCTGTACAAATCATTTATGTGGAAACAACAACAAATTATTATATGTACAGTATAGTAAGTGAACATGTTACTTCATTAAATGCATGTTTCAATGAAAATTATATAAAAAAAGTGGTTTGCTGATATCCATTAATATCTAGTATATAATAATGTAAATGACATATTAGAAGATCCTATTGGAGACTAAACAAGATATTTCCTACATCCTAATTATGAAACGGTTTTAGTTTAAAGAAACAAAAAAAAAAAGAAATTAATGTTGTAGCTGCAGAAAACCTTAAGGATAATCTCAATATAATGTTCTCTTTTACAAAAAAAAAAATAAAAAAAAAATAATACTACAGATTATATGTGCTTACCTTTGATTATTTATAACATCTCAAATATTCCTCGAGATATTATTATTATACAGTTTGTATCTTCTAAGTACTGGACTCGGGATGGATGAAATCCGAAGTGTTTTTTTTCCCATTCAGTGAATTAAAATCAAATTAAGATATTGAAATAATTGTACTATACCAGCAGCATAAAATAATTTATGTTCTGACAGTAACGTAATTTTGCTCTAATATCCGTCGGTTAGACTGAGATAGTAAACGTGGGTATAAAGTATTTTTTTGAGTAATTTTTTTTTTTCTATAACAATTCGAGACAGATTTTCATAGTGAAAGTTGATTCGTTGCGATTAAACGTGTATTTGTTTTTGGTACACGCGTACTAAATTAACTTCTATATTTTCGCCCAACTTCCCACTTACAACAGAGACCCATCAGTGATTCGAACGGTGCCCGGCACTATTTAAATAATACGTAGGTATCACCTATAATATTACATAGAAATCATTGGGAAGCACCGCGTTCGATGAGTAAACTCTATCCCATTCGTTTATTCTCTTACGCCATCATAATATTATATTATATTCGTGCAGGTTCTTGGTTAATATTCCTACGAGACTTAAGAGGAATCACCGCGATAGTATAGGTACCTATAGACTATTATATAACGTCTACTAAGTAGTACCTAGCAATTTCATTTTTCATTCACGGTTTACGGTATTTTTTTTTTTTTTCGAGAAGGCATCTTTTTTAAATTGCAATCGTATAATACATGACATGTTGAACATTTTTCATCCGCGTAATCCGCTGCAGGTATGGTCTATAATATACGGAATCGTATAAGATATAGAGTTTCCGAATCGGCATTGATATTAAATTCTCCTTTATATGCTGAAATAACATTTTTTTTTTTTTTTTTTGCAATAAATTATAAAACTATTTTATGTGCGAATATTATACTTGTGTATAGGTATAGATAAAACAAAAATTTTAATATTCTCTACTGCAATATTTTCAATGACCGTTTTTAATATTTTGATTTTATTTACACACATATATATTTATATATTGACAAAAAAAAAAAGAAGCAATTCATGAAAAATAGCACTAGCCACATGTTTCAATAATTGATCGTCCGAAATATACGATATGCGTCGTGGATACTAAAGTCACGGTTTCGTGGAAATAAATAGATTCAAAACAGCCAAAATGCTTTATAAAGTGCTCTTTAATTTTTCGGATGAGAGATAATAAAACATTTGATTGATGTGTGAGATGTTCAAGTCCAGTACAATGGCAAAATAAAAATGAAAGAACTGCCCAACGCAAACCATTAAAACGCAAAAGGAACCAATAATAACTATAGATCGACGGCCAACATCGAATCGGCTATAAATATCGTTAAAAAATGTTCCGCATTCCTTTCCTATATAAAACGATAAAGCCACGTGCCGAAAACTAGAAAGAACATTTTATACGATAAAAACGTAAAACAACGAAAATCCATCAACTAATTATCATATAATATCAAACATAACTTCAAATGTGTTTTCACGATATTTATAAATATCGAAGAAATTCGGTTTTGTTTGTTATCTACTTTATACATTTGATCTTTTTACGTTTTACAATGATGTTTATTTTTTTTCGTTGTGAACAAATTTTTTGCCAACAATTTTTCTCCGATTTCTAACTATAGTACTTTTTCTGAAAGAAAACTAGACTGGGATAATACTATAAATGGGTCATTTTCCCAACTATTTTCATAATAATTGGGAATAACCGGGAAAAAAAACATGAAAAAAACCGAGAAAAACTGAAAAATAGGCATAATATTAAATAAATATTATTAAAGAAAAAAATTTATAATGTATATGTAATTATTTTACCATAATAATACGATAGATGTATATTGATGACAAAGTAACACTATTAACCGAACTCCGCTCAGAATCGTTTTACATTAGCCATAGTTAACGTTGTATGTAGATATATATACAATTTCCCCTCTAACTTCTCAACTTCTCACCTAAAAAACATTGCCCAACTCATCGAGCGAAGTATGTCCGTATATTTTTTAAGTTTGGATTTAAACGTCACGCTGTATATGGATTGCTAAACAGTGTTTTTTTTTTTGAGTTAAGTTAGTCGAGTATCTTAATTAGTTAATGTGTGGCAGTTTTGGGTTTATTGCCTTGGAGAAATCCGAATGGATGGGCGGTTGAATGAGAAGGTGTAAGTGTGGAAATTATACTTATTTATTTGAGAAGTCTCAGTAGTACATGAATCGGGAAAGACTTGACAGCCTGCTTTAAAATCGACATTATGTCGATGGAGTTTTTTGACTCATAAACATCCTTTAAGGGAAAAATTCTCGTTACCATCACGTAAAATGGTCTGATATCGATGTTTATTTTGTCGTTGGAAAGAGAAACACTTTATACGGAAAGTATTTTAATTTTTTAATTTTTTAATTTCATAATTAACAATGCGTCTTTAAAAAAGGTCGATTTTTTTTTTTTATCATTATTTGAAATCAAATTAAATTTGGTTGTTATTAAATTGATCAATAAAAGGAAAATCAATAATAGCAAAATAATGCCAGCCGTAACGAAAAAGATCGTACCTCGATTTTACAAAATTATTATTTAATACTTGTTTAAAAAAAAACTGAAATATTAAAATATTAAAATGTTTGAAAAACGAAATTTTTCGTTGCGCAAGTGTTATTACGTTGACAATGAGTTATTTCTATTCCCGGCGTAAGTAATTTTCAACCGTAAAAACGGCAGTACCTTGATCCCCTCATAACGGGTATCGGATAGTATTTTAGTGAAAATGTCTCATCTTTAAAATGTTAAAAATAATAATTATTATTTTTAGAATTGGGAAAAATTTGGAAAACTAGTTTTTAGTCTGACTAGCGCGTAATTAGCAACGTACGGAATGCCTTATTTGCAATATTTGCAACCCGCTTATTGGCAATAAGGCTTTCTACAGATCAAAGGTTGATCAGGTTGAGAACCGCGCAGGAATCGATTATAAATTGTAAAGAGTACTTACTGCGTATTGACTTAATGCATTTTTTTTTTTTTTAAATATTTTCATTTTTTAATAAATTATTAACGTGTAAACTTAAGTCAAACCTAAACTCGCAGACTATAATATTATTTACTAAGTGCATAATACGTCCCTATGTCCTAAACTCAAAAAGGGAGTGGGAATCGTTTAATTGAAGAATGCGTTTTTGATATGGATACGCAGTATGCACCTTAATGATTTCGTATATTCATATGATTCGCCGAAGAAAAAAACCTTAATTGTTATTCGAATAAAAATAATTTCACTAATATCTATGTTCTATATGTATGTATGTATGATAATTTACTGGAAAATGGCTTGTAGGTAATCAACCGTTTTATTTATTTCGAAGAAAATATTTGTAAAAATTGTCGTTCGACATCGACATAAGTATTGTTCACGAGTGCTGAACCGTATTATACCCAGGGGAGATCATATATTTTTGTTTGAAAAACGCGAACTGTAATAAACGCAATAAATAATTGTAAATAAACAAAAAAACATTTTTTTTTTTTTTTTTTATTCGTTTTACGGCACAAACCTCAAAACCCTTTTCGAAACATTTGCATTCGATTTTTCAGCGATGTTTACGAGTTGGCCATTTTTTTCATGTATAGATATTTTTAATTACCGTACAAATATCATTTTCAAGGGGAATTCTCGAGTATTTGTCTGTAATACAGTGATTGTATACACGATCGTCAGTTATGCCAGTGTAAATTCCCAAACAAAATATATTTTGTAAAAAAAAAAATAAATAATAATAAAAATCCACCGAACATTTTTCAGTGAAATTATTGACGCTGAAATATTTTTTAATTTTCTCTAATAAATTATTTTATCATTTTTTTATTTATTTTCACAACTTGTAAAACAATGTTTTAAAAAAATAAAAATATGCATCTATTCCACGTGATAACGGGAAAAATCGACTAGAATGATTATAGAGCAATTTAGTGGCTTGACTGTGACGCGATCGGTGGAAAAAAATTTGAACTTTAATATTGTTCAAACTCCGCGTGCGTTCGTTTATTCAATGCAACAAGTGACCGTGTCAGTATTTTGAGATCTTTGAGAAACCTCACTCTCTCTATCTATCTCACTATCTTTTGGGCGCCAGTCACGCCCCGGTCATCGGAGTCTCTAAATTTGTGAAGCACACTGAAGAGTAAACAAACATATACAATCGACAACGACGGTACTTTAGGAAACATATTCTAGCTAATAAATATTTAATATTTATTTACATCGGTAGTTGTTTACACCAGCGTTTTATTTTTAAAGTAAAATTTGACGACAGTCATGAAAAATACATAAAGATTTTGTTGTTCATGGACCAAAAAGGGCGATAGTGATAGTTCTGAACACGTTTTTTCTACAACCTGTAGTTATTTAACCACATTTAAAATAGTATACATTTTATGTACGTTACCGGCCATATCTTAACTTCAACCTTTTTGGCGCCAAAATGTTGTTTGTAATTAACACGAATTTGCACGATACATTTTAGACTTTGCACGACACTGAGATCAGAGCAGTAGGCAAAAACCGAGAGGGGGGGGGCGTAACGTTACTTCAGGCCATCAACACTAACGGATTTAAATTTGTTTGGTTAATGTTCAAATTTAGTATACCTGTATGAGTACTAAAAATACAGATTCTAATAATTCTATATCAATTCTTAACCCTGAAAATATTCTACTATTGAAATACAGATCAAAATTTCCAGTAGGAAAATAAAATGTAAACAGTTTAAAATAATGAAACTTTTTCTGCCATAAACATGTCCGTTTTGTCTGGGTATTCCAAATTAACATGTGAACTGCGTTAAATACTAATTGATCGTGTAAATTCATACGATTTGCATGCTAAATTTTGGCACCAAAAAAAAAAAATGTAATCAATTAAGGTGGGACGGTGGGTTTAGGGTAAGGTACATACACGTTTGCAGTTTTAGATTAAAACTTCCTAGGTTGTATTTTCACTGGGTCGTAAAATCGTACGAAATGCATTCAGGTAGCGAACGATACATTTATTGCATTTAGTGGGTTGAATCAAAACACGTGAATATAAATTATTTTTAATAATAAAAACACGGTGTTTATAAATTATATAATGTAATATATGATGTGCCTTTGTTCTAAACTCGACCAAAAAATAAAAATTCGTGTGGAATTAAGTGCGGAATGCCTTATTGTTGTTAATACATACACAGAGTGATAAATCTATCGTAAGACTCTCATTATCTCGGAAAGTATAAATTCGTTTCGGAATTTTATTTATAAAACTAGCTGATCTACAATTTTAAATTTATGTTATTTATGCCAACTTTATTTTTGAGAGCAAAACTACTTCCCTACGTTTGATTTTAAAATGGTGATCTATGTTAAATATTTCATAAGTACAAGCAGTATTAGCTAAAATAAATTTTGATGTTGACACTTTTGATTTCTGTCAATTCGTTGATGAAACATTTCACTTTGAATTTTACGTACTGACAATTTTTCTGAATTGTATAAAATAATATTCTCTGCAGAGAAATAGCGAAAAATAGTTTTGTTTTTATTTTACCCTAACCATAAATCCTATCCGTAATCATACCCAACCACATTATGGGTAAGGTAGTATAGGTTAGACTTATACCATCAAATGCATATAGAACATTTTTCAATCCAAATAATAGTAGATATACAATGTTGTTTTGATCATTTTACTTCAAAAACTGTTACTATTGCATTTCATAACTGTTAATAATATTATTGTAATAATTTAAAATCAATTTAATTAATTTGTTTTTAACAAAATGTACATAAATAAATATATCGAATTGTTTTGAATTGTACTGAATTTCCAAAATAGATTTTATAAACGGATAATTAAGTAAAACATTGTCGAAGTTTGATAGTAACAGAAAAAAAAGAGATAATTGTTGATGTTTTTAATTTTCACCGACAATAAAACCATTACGAAACGGGTTTTTCTTTTAAAAAAGATTAAAAATTAATCCAAGTATTTAAACTATAGGTGCCATGATGAAAATTCGTTTTTTTTTTTTTTAATTTTATCCTTTAGGTAGTGTATTTAATATTCATATACTCGTTTTCATACTTAAACCCCGTATAATCTTCTTAAAATATTTTAAAATAAACTACGTCTATTTAATATATGTGTATGCCATATTAAAACTGCATTGAGTTAATTTTAGTCTTAAAACCATGGAGATTAATACTATAACAGTACTACGCAATGGTATAGTTAGGCACTGGCAGAAGACATCTGCTCTCGTATATTAAACCAAGATATACGAGAAAGTATTTAATAATGTAATTTACTAGATTAATTTATATTTTATGTATTTATTTAGAATGCGTTATTGAATCAAATAGATCACGCTTGTGTTTTACTCCCATTAAAAAGGTCAAACAATACATGTGGTGTACAAAATAATGAGTTCATAAAATCAAATAAAGAAATCGTCTAAATATACCATTGATGATTCATCGCAATTTTCCGAGAAACGTATACATAGGATTCTGAGGGATAATTATTGTCGAGAAGCTAACAATGGTGTAACTGCTACGTACATACGAAGGCAATCTAATAATTGCTTTCAATCGTATCACTTAATTTAATTTTGGTGCACTGGAAATTCGAATAAATATTAAGAATTGCATCGGAATCGTATTATTTTAGTTTAATGTTCGTTAACAACAAGTCCGTTTCCCTTTTGCCTTTGCCTATTTTATTCAGAGATTCGTTGGTGTTATTTTCATTAAATTCTCTTTTTATTCCAGTTATAAAGTTCACTTCTTAATTTGGTTTCAGCGCCAGATTCTATAGAATATAAACAAGACGTCTTTGTGATTGTACAGTACGGTTTTTAGTGTTATATTTCTTTAAAGTGACAAGCGAGGCATATTTAAGGTCCAAGGCTCAGAACATTCCGACATAGTGCACACGAGCACGTGGTTTTTGTCCTGCAATTTGATATAGTGCAATCACTGAACATTACCATTCGTACCACAACAAATTAACAACATTAACAACATTTCGGGCTAATCAATCAATTCATCGGCTACGGAGTAAATAAATAATGATATCGTTATATCAAAATCGAATGATGATTATTATTTCAAATGTTTAAAATTGTTATTTGATTGTTTGCTCATTATTATGCATTATTATGTTTAATTCAACGAAAACATTGATACACTTATGTATGTATATTTTTTTTATAATAGGGGTAGAGTTCAACTTTATCGGGTACATAAAACATAAAGCAACGCATATTTGCATCCGGTAGATAATCGCAGGGGGTGGAAGTATACCATCGCGAACCCCCGTAATTACGCCACTGGTTATTACTGCTGTTAGGTAGTTCTTAACAATAACAATAAAACTATGCGCTTAGACGCAACCGACTTTTGCTATAAAACTGTATTCTACTTTAGGTCAGCACATTAAAATATAAAGTCAGACAACGGTAAATTGACTGTCGTATTTTTTTTTTTTTTCCGTGCCAGACAATTTTAATGTTAAGAAAAACTACCAAGCCAACGCTCTTAAGTCTAGTTGTTTTTCTCCTCTAGTTATTGGTTAATAAATAACGACGGATGCGCGTATATTTTTTTTCATTCAGTTATTTGAAATGCATACATAAATTATTCAACACAAATATTATTGTACTTTGATTGTTATTAAATTCGTAATGTTTATTTAAACATCTCGTTTTTTTTTTTCAGACACACTGTCTCTACACTGTTCGTTCACAGTTTTTTTAAACTAGTTATAACGTTTTATCATTCGCTTTACTTATTCGTCTTGCACCTATGACATGGCGAATGACAACATTAAATTTTTGCCAGCCATCTGTTAATAAATTATAATCCCCGCCCCCAGCGGAGTATTTGTTTCGTAAAAAATCATGTTGATTTCTTGTGTTCGGTATTAATTTAATTGTCCTAAGTGTTCAAAATATACACCGGAATCGCGGACAGGCGTAAAAATTATTTTTTTTATCAATCGAACACTTGGAACCCGTAACAAACGATCGAATGTGACGTCACACGACGATAACAATATCTGTTGATTACACGCGTTGCCGTCTGAGTACGGCCGCACTCTACGCCTCTAGTCGAAAACGTTAACTACGCGTGACACGACCCGAGAACGTTACACTCTAATCCGCCGTGTCACCAATGCGAGAGACCGCAAGAAGCCGTAGAAGACACCGTAAGCCTCGCTTATCAGCGTCTTCTCTGGGTTCGTCCGTCCAGGAAAAGCATTTTTGCACGTTCGTCCTCGCCCGTTTGAACTCTTCCGCCGTGTTCACGGTGGTTGCGACGCGGCAGCGGTCACTGCGATTGTTCGCCGTACACCCGAACGCGTTTGATTTCCGCCACAGCGCCCCGCAAACGGCCGTGCACAACTCGTTGCGCGACGCCGGTTAGAAGGCCCGTGGCGAGACGACCGACGGATATTCGCTCGTGTGTCGGCTGACGGTCGCCCGTACGCCCGAAACGGCGCCCCGGTTGACGTCCGTGCGACCACTCGGCAACGAGAACCCCGGCAAGCGCGTGACAAAACGCGCGTTCGCCTCGTGGCGTATCCAGCACTGTTTGTGTACACCGGCGCCGCGGCGCTCTATGAACCGTCGCCCGGGCGCCGGCTTTAGAAACACGACCGACAGCGTCCAATGGGACGACGGCCCATTCGCCGAGTGTATGCGCCACCGGGAACGTTGTCCGCGGCGCCGGCCACTATTCCCGAGCGAGCGGACGTCCGCGAAGTCCCGGGTCCGCCGCGCCCGTCTTGCCCATGGCTAGTTGGAGCGTTTCGCGTCGCACAGCTGACGACGTTGTCCGCACGCCGCCGTTCGCGCGTCTTATCGGCCCGCTTAGGCTTTTGCCTTTATTCGCTTTCGGCGTATCGGGTCGTTGAACGCGGACCGCGTTCGCATCGTCCACGTTTACCGTTGTCGGGTACCGCGCGGTCTCCCGTGCGTCGCCGACAAATTATTCACCGTGACACTGACCGTTTAGTCGCCTGTTCGTTCGCCGTAATTTGACCTGCCGTTCGCCCGTGTGCATTTATCAATTTCCCGTGTATTGTTTTCGCGTACAACGGGCATGTCGCATTCCCCGTTATCGACACCCGCGGTCCGTGTTATTCTCAACCCGGCCCACCCGGTCCCGCGTCCTCGTCATCCGCACGCGGCCGACCGGTTTAGTTTTCCCGCGGGCGCCAACAGTCGTGTTCAGAGTATTCGCGTTCACTTCGGATAAATCGCGACCGTTCGCCCGTTACCCTACATCCGATCATTGCGTTTTATTCCCCGCGCCCGGGCAGTGACCGGCGGTTATTATCACGTTCTCGCGACGGAACAGTATTTGCGGTTCTTTCGTCGGGCCGACAATTGCGCACGACAGGAAACGTTCATCGGTCTGCGGGTACGCGTGTATTGCACATTCGGGTGCTAACCGTTCGAAACGCACACCCGCGCGAACGGCGGGTACGGCGTGCGGACGGTGCGCGACGATAACAAACGTCGCGGTTGGATTCAGCGCATCGCGGCACTGTACAATTTCCCCGTTGGCGCCATCCACTGTTACCTTTTCGACGGACACACATACACACACACACACACACACACACACCATTCGTACACATTATGCACGCCTTATCCCGTCTCGGGCTGTTATATTTTGCATCACCGATCGCCACCACTTGTAGCCGTAGTATCAATTTTACATTCGGCGCGTGCAGCGAGGGTTCCATCGGTTACGCTATAAACCGACCCCGGTATCGGGTCTTTTATTTATTTATTTTTTTCTTTTTGCGAGCGAACGACATTTCCTGTTTATGTTTGAGCCGTTTTTGAGCTGTTTACAGACGTTTTAATTTTGCGAGCTTTCAACGTGATTTTTTATTCGGCAGACGCTCTGAGGGTACGCTTGTTAAACTAAACGGAAGTACTCGAAAATATGATAGGAGGTTCACTATGAGTCATACTCGTGGTAAAAAAACGGAAAAAAAGACGTCCTAGAATAATGGAGATGGAGTCGCTGTTATAGGTAATTTAATGTATATCTGTAACCAACGATAATAGAATAGAATGATACAGAATTATTTAACATAACATTTAATATCAGAACTTCAAAAAGCTTTAATTTCAAAACTAATTCATGCCGCTCTATTCACCACCGTTCTGAAATTGGCTTAAGACATATGTTCAAAAAAAAAAAAAATGGAAAAATTAGATTTGTTCCATATAATTTTGTATTCAAACGATTTTCGTCAAACTATGATATTAAAATTCTTTTATATATATATATAAAAAAAAAAAAAAATACATTAAACTCAATTTATTTATGTTTTTGACCACAAAGTAAGATTCTTAATGAACCTTCCGTTAAATTTCCAAGCATTTCTGATAAGTCTAATAATTTTACCACGAAGTACCTACCGAATAAAAATTACGTACAAAACTTGCAAAATTTAAATGTCTATAAATAGCTCAATAATGGCTTAAATTTTTTGAAAATTCGACCACTACCAGAAAAGGCAAATATAACTTTACTGTCCGGATTTCAAGACTCTACGAATTTTTTTTTTATTGAATTACAACAAATAACTATAATGAAAAATAACAAAAGCATTATGTTCGTACATTTCCCGTTTTTCTTACGTTTTATCTTGGTTTTTCTCAGATATTATGTAAACCGCTTAGAAAATCAAAAAACGACCTCCTAGATTCCCTTTCAGAAATAATGCCACATGTATACATCTGAAAAAGATTACCGGTAGAACTTTTGTACACAGTATAAAAAAAGAAATAATAAGCATATTAGTAAATCCAATACATTCTTGAGATACACTGAGAATCTAAAATTGAATGTTATGTAGTATTTTTTTATAGGAGTTTTAAAATCAAATTTTTACGATAATCGTAAATATTATGGCCTTACGAAAATGGATAACCGATCTTCGCTCCAGATCGTTTTTCATTAGCGATGGTTTTTGGTTGCTTACAAACACATTTAAACTCTTCCATATAATTACTACTTACCCAACTTCTCAGTAACAACAGTGTCCACCCATTGTACAAACTATGTGCCCTTTTTTTTTTTTTTTATTGTTTTATACCTCGTTCATTATTCGATTTACTTTATCCATTTCTTTTTGATCATGATATCAAGATCTACTTTTATCGGTCTATATCTATTATCTATTCTATATATAGTAGATACCTGCAGTGAATGGCCCCTAATTAATAGCATAATTGGTTTTAAACATTTTTTTGTAGGATAATATTGTACTATTTTCATCTACACTGTACACGGTTCTTATATAATTGTAAAAAAAAAAAAAAAATAATAATAAAAACTTTAAATGCCATAATTCGTCATTATTTTTAAAACGAAAGATATTATACGAGATTATTGAGAAAGCCCTTGAATTATTGAATACATCAAATATTTAAGCACAACGTTCATGATTCTGAATGTCTAATATTATGACAATTCATAAACACCGTTACAGACTATAAGCACTATATTTCTCTCGAAAATCGTCTCGCTAAATAATTCCGCGGAGGTTTCGTTATTATATTCTTATTTTGTACGGGTATTAAAGTGGATTTTAACCACAATTCCTTCATACTTAAATTATTGTTCGGTTAAACTCGCGGACTCTTGTAAAAATCTTATACTGCAGTTCCTTTCACATTTTTCAAATTATATTGTACAATCGTAGTATACGCATTATGCATACCACATATAACTGTAGTATAAATATTAATTTCATCCTTTAGACTTTATCTGAAATGATTTTTAAGTTTTTAGCGTGCTAAAATCTTTTATCAACATTTTATATTATGATGGATACACCTAATTAGTTTTTTTTTTTTACAATGTGTTCGGAGGATATGCTTTCCCGGGAAAGTTCGTTTATCAATACACATTATTTACATTTAAGTAATTTAACATGACCTTATACAAAACTAAAAAAAATACAACACAATTTAAGCAAAAAAAAAACAAATAGATAGGTGGTAGTGAAATAAATATTGAAATTGGCAATTTTAAAAGTAATATTTATTTGCACCTTATTATTATAGTAAATAAAAACGGCGACCTGTACAAAGGCAATAAGAATACAATGACGCGATAAAAAGTCTTATTTTAAATTAAAGATATATATCAAAAAACTGTATTATTTTCTGTGCGGAAATCCTATTTATTAAATCTGATGTAGGTAGTCAATATTTCGTAAAAAATGTATTAATTTTCATAAATTCGTTAAATATTTCAAATACTCTTATGATATTACGTGTGTTATTAAAAAAAAATTAGGAAATGCCAAACGTCCGCAGTAAGTAAACACAACTTTCACAACATAATACGGTAAGACAGA